TGAATTGCAAGTATTTTTACGGCCATCGAAGGACACCTGTCCGCCCATAATAGCCTGTAGGCTATGCAAAGGTGATGACCCGATTGTGGGCGCTATAGTGACGGCAACAGTGGACAGACCGGGCGGCACACAGACTGACCATCAGTTAAACTTATTTCACAACGAGGGCTATTATTACACATTCTATACTGACTATAGCGGCGCCGGCAGGTATAATGTTTGCGTACGGGCCGTTAATGATGGCAACAATACTACATATAGAGGTAAATAATTAATTAAACACTAAACAAACACCATGCTAAACGAAACTCATTTGACCAGGCACACCTACCGGTGCATTCCGGCGCCAACTGGTGGCTAACAGTTTTCAAGTAAAGGCCGACTCTATGCCAACACAACCGCCGCCCGGCGACCACTTTAATCAATTAAGGCTTAACAACGAGATTGGCTTTCGTAATAGTCCACCGGCCGGTACGGCAGCGCCCGGTCCGGCACCGGGAGGGCCGACACCAGCGCCTGCGCCTCGAAGTATACCCCTATTGAGCGATCAAATGAAAGCCCTTAAGGCCCGGCTGTCGTCTAATTATATACGTACTAAGCGGGCGGTCGACGGCCTACAGGTGTCCCAAAAGGCAGATCTGGTCAATAAGTTGTCCCTTTTTGAGCGCTTCTTCTCTTCAGTCCGCGAGACGTCTATTGGAGAGATCGATGGATATCAGCGACAGTTGGATGATGTAAATGATCAAGTTAGATTGAGAAGACAAACTTGATGATTTATTAATGCAATTGTTTATTATAAATGTTTTTATTGAAAGTTTTTTACTTGATTCTTGATAATGGCTCAAAATGTTTAATAGATATTTATAATTAAATACAATATATCATTTAAAATTTAATTAATTAAAAATATCTACTATATAAATTTAGTAAAACATTTATACAATACATATCAATAATTGAAAAACTAAATATTTGTTGAATTTTTCTTCGAATAAAACTTCTTCTCATTGTTTACACGGATTTCAATTGTCTTGAGTTTAGGACTCGAAGACAACACAGCATTCAAATCATTATCCGAGAGATCAAAGCATCCGTTGCAGTGAATGACAAGCGTTTGCAGCGCCGGTAGTTTTGGGACGTCATCAAAATACTCGGGAGTAATAAAAGTAGTGCTAATGTATAAACATTGAAGTTGTGGACAATTTTTATGTAGATATTTTAACATATTTATATTTTCTTGCCGAAAATCCAGCTTTAAATGCGTTAATCTCTTGCAGTGTTGCAACGGTTCCAACAAACCATTAGCGACGGCACCGATGAATGTTAAATGCAATCGTTTTAATTGCGGATAAAATCTCAACGAATCCATTGTCTCTATAATTGTTTTCACAGATATCTCGAGTGACAATCGTTTCAATTGTTTGCAGTTTAAGCCAATTGTACGCAAAGACACAGACAATGAGTTCTGACATATTCTGTTAAAATTAAGTGTCAATTCCCGTAATTGTGTTAATCGTGACAAATGTTCGCACATTTTAGCAATAAATTGAGTGTGAAGTACAATGATATTTATGACAACACTTTTGAGGGACTGATTGTGTGCCACAAATGCAGACATTTGGTCCAAATGGTTGTTTAAATAGCAATTTAGTTCAAATTTATGCAAATTCTTTGCCAACAGCTGATCCGTATACAAGTGAAAGGCGTCGCCAACGGTTTGGATCTTTAATTCAGACAATAGCTGGCAATGAATGAGTGAATTATTGTTGAAATTGATTGAATCGATTCGTGTGACCAGTGGTCCCAATGAACGCACTGTTTGTTCACAATTTTCCCATAAATTGCAGTAAATTTCTCTTAAATGTCGGCAATTGTCCCGAAATGTGTTCAACACTTCGTGAATGTGGTCTTCATATCTGGAGGATATTCCTCGACAGTCAATGATCTGAATGTTTTGGCACTTTATAGCCATTGTGGCCAACAATTGAACATCACATCTATTTTGAGTCATTAATCTTTGAATATATCGGTCACTAAGAGTAATGTCGACAACACTCTCGAAGACTGTCCTCTGGAACTGTTTGGACACACATTCCAATCGAAGCCGATCTTCGAGTGAGAGATAAGACAATAGATGTTCACACAAATCATCACCAAATCTGTCCATTGAGTTCTTTGCATACATTTTAGACATTTATTTGATTTAAATAAAACTTTTAATGTTTTAAAATAATTTTCTGTTTTATTTTTACAAAATGTGAATAAAAAGTATTGTATTTAAAGTACAATATTAAAAGAAAGTTTGATATGATTTTCAATTTATTGAAAACACTCTCATTTGAAATCAGAAATGAAATGAATATTTATTATTAACTTTTATTGCTTTAAATATGTTTTGATTAAAATATTTTAATCCGTTAATACATATCCTCCTTATTTAAATAATTTGTTTACAAATCAAGATCTCTCTCTCTCTCTCTCTCTCTCTCTCTCATTTAAACTTTTAAATAAATATAATTCACTTCAAAATTAAATAATTATGAATATAATTTACAATTTAATTACTTAAGGTAAAAGTATATTGTTTGGCAATCGGTGTGAGCGCCGACCCAAACCTGGAGAAGTTGTCGGCCGACACCGGAGGTCTGGTCTATGATGTGAGCCGTACGGACCCCGAGAGCCGCGAAATGATGGCCCGCGTAATGGAGGCCGCGATGAAAGAGGTTATCACCAGTAAAGAGATGGCAGAAGTGGTCACTCATACTGTTGTCAATGAAGTTGTGGTCATAAATGGCAACACATATGAAACTCGAGTGCCCATTGAGGCCGACATCGGACGCAACACTCAAATACAGATCCGCTCCGAAGCCATCAAAGACATTGACGTAGACATCACCGGACCGTCGGGTGCCGTCTATAGCACTACAGGTGGCGGACAAATAGCCAAACGTTTGGACCTCAAGGAGTGCAGACTATACCTGGAGTCGACTGAATCGGGTCTCTGGACTATAAAACTAACAAAACAGATATCAAGTCCTGTTAGAGCACACCTAGTGTTTGAGAGTAACCCTACCAGAGCTCAAGCCATTGAATTGCAAGTATTTTTACGGCCATCGAAGGACACCTGTCCGCCCATAATAGCCTGTAGGCTATGCAAAGGTGATGACCCGATTGTGGGCGCTATAGTGACGGCAACAGTGGACAGACCGGGCGGC